GCCGGGGTGCCGAGCCCGGGGGCTGCCGGTGTCTCCGGGATCCCCCTCTCCCCCCGGGGACACCGACGTGCTCTGTCCCCGCAGGGATCTGCCTGCGAGGTCGGGTGGAGCTCAGCGAGCGGGAGGTTACTGGGAGCTGCTCTTCGTCCTGCAGCACCCAGGCCCACCCGGGAGGCTTCCTGGGCCGTGGCTGTGTCCAGATCTCAGCCTGTGTCACCAAGGCCTCGGGCTGGGCCCGCTGGTTGCTGCGCTGCGGGGTGTGCGAGTGCGACTGCTACGTGCCGTGCGGTGAGCCCCGGGGGGCCTCCCACCTTCCCTGAGGGGTTCCTCTCCCTTCTGTGGGAAGGGTTGACCCCGAGAGCTGCTAAACGGCTCAGAACCTGCTGCTCTTGCTCTCCTCACAGCTTCCTCTGCGTAGAGCTGGGCTGGCTGCAGCCGTGGCCACTGGCCCCATGCCGAAGGATGCTCCCAACCTCGATGTCTGCTTCCCTTTGCCACGTGTCTCCATCACTGTGCTCCTTCTGCAAGCTCCATCCGTTGTAAGGCTGTCATCTGAGAGGAGAGGAGGTGTTCTGGACTCTCACAGGGCTGCTTTCTTGCCTGGCCCCCACCCCGTGACTCTCCAGGGCCAGGGGATGCTCTGGGAGCAGCAGGCACTGGGGAGCTGCACGTCTGTCCTGCAGCTGGGCTTGAGGACATGGCTTCTGTTTGCCTGGCTGCTTCCTAGAGGAGGCTCATAGCCCCTTTTAGAGGGGAGGGAGCACAGGGCCTGTGCCTGTTGGAGGAGTACCTAGCTCATCAGTGGTGCAGGTTGTAATTTCTCCCTGTCAGGTGTTTCCTACACGCAGGCCAGGCCCTGGGCTGAAAGGCAGATCTGCCCTTTGTGCTTGCTGCAGCTGTCTGCCAGGGCTGGCAGATGCCACAGGGGTCAGGGCTGCACCACCCAGTGCTGAGGAATGGAGTGTTCCAGGGGGACAACTGTCCTACAGCCTTCCTGGGAGCACTGGGGCCAGAACAGCTAACTGTGGAGGGGAGAATCTCAGCTCCCCAGAGCAAAGTCTTCTCTGTGGTCTGGGCCACATGCTGTCTGCAGAATATGCTCCTTCCAGGGGTCTGTAGTCTTGTCTTGAGAGCCCCTTTCCCCAGGGACTTCTCTCCCAGCAGCTTTGGGCCACAAAGAGATGTGGTGGCTGATGCCTCTGGCCCTTTGCTGCTCACTGGGTTGCATTCATGCTGGCATTGGTGCTGATCTCCAGGGGACAGCCTGGTGCTCCCTGGGCACTGCCCTGCCTCTCTCTGAAGCAGCAATGGAGAAGCCAGATTGTCAGTGCTCAGTGGGTTGCACTCATGCTGACATTGGTGCTGATCTCCAGGGGACAGCTTTGTGCTCCCTGGGCACTGCCCTGCCTCCCTCTGAAGCAGCAATGGAGAAGCCAGATTTTTTTTTTTCCCCTGGCAAAGGTGGTCTGGAACGTGTGTGATGGGATGGCCAGGGGAGCTGGAGGACCAGCAGCACCACTGTGGGTAATAAAAACTCTGTTTACAAGAAATCATGAGGTCTTCCAGTCATGTAAAGAGATTCTGCTGCCTGGTCTGTCCCAGAGCCAGGACAGGCTCCCTCTGCCACCAACACTGTCCTGAACATGTGAGCCACCATGGGGACACAACTATGGTCCAGGCCACTGTAGGAAGGTCCTAGCTGGGAACCAGATGGGTGCTGAATGTGCCCATGGCTCTGGCCACTGGGCTGCCATCCCTGCTGGCCTTCCAGCTCGAAGTGCCTCCCCAGCAGGATGCTGCAGCAGCTGGTGATGGCTGTTTGGCCTCCAGCTTGGTCTGGGGAACTCATGACCCAGCCTTGAGCAGGTTAGAAGGAAGAGGCTTTAGCATCCAGGGGGGTTCACTCCCAAGCTCTGCTGGTGCCCAACTAAGACCTTTGTGTGGAGCTTGGCCCCATGACTAGCTCCTTGTGCCCTCCCCATGCCCAGCCTGTGGGCTGCCCACCCTCTGGCTGGCTGGATCTTGCTGTGCCAAGGAGTCAAATCACTGCCCTAAGCTCTGTCCCAGCCCAAAGCTGGCTGTGGGAGGGGAAAGCTTTCCTTGGCTCAACAGATGGTTTTTTAATTAATACTTTTGTTAGTGCCACTCATTTCCATATGTCTTTCATGTTTAAGTGTTGTGGTGGGTGAGAGGTGTGAGTAACAGCGAGGCTGGAGCCAGGAG